ATTGTACTATAAACACTTTTATGAGGACTACCATTATTGTAAAAACTTCGTAAAATAATATATTTTATGCTCAATACAAAAATTGCACTATGGCAAAAGATAAAAGATTGTAGATTATTATTATTATACTCTAATATTATAAACAAAAATACATTATAAGTTAAATTTACAATAAAGAAATTTCAATAACATTCTGATAAAAATTTCTACGGAAATTATAAAACTGCTTCACACACAGAATTTTCTTGTTTACAAATTTAGGAATTTGAGGTGGTTTGGTTAAAATGCACAGGCACCTAGCCTATTTGTTGTTTAGGGGTTTAAGGTTTAAAGCTCTTTAGTTCACATGTACAGGCTACGAAGATCACACATTTGTAAATAAGTTTTTATGAAAGTTAAAATTTTTTTCAACATTTTCGTCCATCGCATTGGTTCCGCCATTTTAAATTTTCAAAATCTGATATCAGATTTGTAAAGAGCGATCGCGAAAACACTTGAATCTTCTACAAAATATTATGGATTGAAGTATATTTATAGTTATTTTGTGTTAGGGGTGGTTAACCCCCCCCCCCCCCTTAGGGGTAGTATCTATGAAAAAACCGAAAAACTTAATTTGTTTATTATAGATGTTTTTTCCAATTTTTTTAGTCACTTCAAAACTTTTTTATTATATAAAATTATTTTTCGATATTTCTGTCGGCCATATTAGTTCCGCCATTTTTAATTTTTAAAATCTTATAACAGATTTGTAATCAGCGACCTTGAAAACCTCTATATACAAACTTTCTACGAAATATTATGTATTGAATTACATATTTACAGTTATGTTGTGTTAGGGGTGGTTTACCCCCTTACGGGTAATATTTATTAAAACACCGAAAGACGTTAACTAAATTTTGTTATTATGGATGTTTAAACATTTTTTCCAATTTTTTTTAGTCGGTTTAAACTTTTTTATTATAAAATTATGCCAAAAAATATGTTTTCAACCCCTAAATAATAGTAGATGCTACCCTTACTCTTCAAATCACCATGAAATACTTGCTCCTTTTGTAAGAAATAACCTCCAATTTATTTCACTGAAAAATATTAATTTTAAGCCGAGATATTAAAAAAAAACGCTTTTTGCGGGTTAACTTTAGGGGAGGTTTACCCCTTAAAAGTGAAAATTAGCCAATAAAACAAAATACATGTCTCTTATTTTTTCAGTTTAGGCGCCCGTAAGCAGCTTTTTACGTGCAGAGCATGCTCAGCGTAGAAAGTTGTTCAGTACAGCGGAGGGGCATCCTGGGCTGCATTGACTCAATACAGCCTAGGACACTGGGCTGTATTGAGTCAATGCAGCCCAGGACCCTGGCTCCCTCTACTTGACAGCATTTAATACGTCGGAGGACTAGTACGAAAAACTTCCATGTAGAGGGCTCTGCATGGAAGTTTTTCCGTGCTGCGGAAAAGTATAGTCTCCGCCTTCAAAAAGTGAGAGGGGATTGTCTAACGTGTCCGAACTTGAAAATCGAGAAAAGTAAAAAGTGCCGGTATTAGTAAAAACTGCAATGTAACTTTTAATAATTAATATATTGATTCTTTTAATTAGTTACAAATATTTTAATTTTATTAAATTTTTATTAATTATTAATTATTAAAACTAAGAAAAAATTATCTAATTATTTTTTTATTTATATATGTAAAAAATATAAAAGTTATAAATAAATATATAAAATATAATTGAAATGTTTACAATATTTATTTATATTACAACCGGCTAACGGTAAAAATCAGTTTACGGGCGCCAAAATTGAAAAATTGTTAACGCACTTCGGGCTAATTCACTCAGCCGCTGCGCGGCCTCGGACGCTCCACTGCCCCCCTTTCCTTCAAAAAGTCCCTCGACGTAATACGACGTGATACAGCCCAAGGTACGTAATAGTTATTTTTAGTTTAGGCGCCCGTAAGCAGCTTTTTACGTGTAGAGCATGCTCAGCGTAGAAAGTAGTCTAGTATAACGGAGGAGGCTCCTGGACTATAATGACTCATGATAGTCTAGCGTCCTGGACTATAATAGCCATTATAGTCCAGGAGCCTGGCCCCTCAACATTACAGCAGCTACTATGTCGCAGGACGAGTAGAGCCCTCTACGTGGCAGTTTTCTGTACTATGAAAAAAGTATAATGCATGCCTGAGAAAATGTTAAAAAGAGGGGAGGAGGAGGGTCAAAGGGGATAGTGAAGTATTGAAGAGTTACGTCAGTCGTAGTGAAAATTGATTTAAAATGGACTTAACGAAAATGTTTAATGCAAACAAGGAAAATGTTGATTCAGCAAGTGACTCGGAGAGTGCTGAAGAAAACTTTTAACAATTAAATAGATACAAATTTTAAGTTATATTTTTATATTTAATTTGTTAAATTTATTTTAATCATTTTATTTTTATGAAAAAGTTTGGTTTTATTTATTAATATTTATAAGAAAAAGTGTATCAAAATCAATCAATTTTTGAAATATAACCTAAATGTTTACCATAATTACATCAATTCCAATTATAACCGGGTTAGGGTTAAAAATCGGCTTACGGGCGCCAAAATTAAAAAATTGTTAATGCAGTTTGGACTGTAGCACGTTGTATTACGTCGAGGGACGCTGCGCGGCCTCGGACTCTCCACTGCCCCCCTTCCCCTTTCTCACTGTGGTTCATTTTTTATTTCTTTCTTTCTTATTTATTTATTTCTTTCTTACCAAGGTGCATAAATAACTATTTCATGTTCTACAATATGTATCAAAATCATCAAAATCGGTGAGTTCGGGTTGTGTACCTTTCCTTGTTAGCGAATTTTTGAGCGATCCAAATAGCTACGGTCGACTTCCCCCACCACTTCGCAGCGCTGAAAGATTGAAAAAATCATTGATTCTGTTTACGTTCGATCGCGAATTTAATGTATGTACAATTGAAGCAAAGTCCAGATATTTCACAGTTAAAAGAACCTTGGCTTTCCGCTTCGGATCGCTTGAAAAATTTTCCGTTATCTATATTAATTTTTTAACAACAGGTCGAAAACTTTAACAACCTGTAATTTTCTTATTAATTGACGAATTTTCATGTGGTTTTTTTCTAATTGAATTAATAATTCTGACCAACTACCGATATACATTATAAAACACTAGAAAAATCTTATAATACGCGGTTAATTTCAGTTTGCAACCAAGCAATATTTTAGAAAAAATTTCCTGAGTCGTAAATTAAAATTTTTTTTTTGTTTAAATTGCAGTTTTCGATTATAAACTGTAACAAGTACTGATAAAAAAATCGGCGTTACTTTGCTTAACGATTCGGACTGCGAACAAAACGAAACAGTTAATTTGTTGTTAACCGTCTGTATAGATTGCAATTACATTAGAGCTTGCGGCTTCAAAGCTCATAATCTTCACGTAATAAGAACTACATTGAGGTACATGGAAAATCTCTATGATCAAATATTTAACGGTAATTATTAAATAAATAATTGACCTTTTTGTGTTAATAACTTTTTATCTAATTAACATGTATTAACGTGCGACACATGCTTTTGTAGGTCTTGCCGATACGAACAAAAAACCATTCGACCATTTTTCGATTCAACTGCTAGTAAAAAAGATATTACGCGAAAACATGAAAATAGATAAAATTTTTTTTTTAACGGCTGGTTAACAATGTTCTGCACCGATTTCAGACTTTGGATGAAGATATGTTATTACACTCATTGTCAGCTATCCACGGTAAAAATTTCGTGCTGTTCCGGAAAAAGTACGCGAAACGCTCTTTTTCGGGCTCGCCTGGACTATTACTTTTCTTTTCTTTCTTGCTCACGTTCAAATGAATCACGTGCGGCCTTTGCGACTAAAACATCCTCAGACCTTTTATTAAAAAATCGTAAAATTGTAGTTCGGCGAACGGAAATTGATAAGCTGTCAAACTTATTATCTATCGAGTTTGAAACTATCGCGTTTCACGTGACCATTTACAATTAACGAACTTGAACCTACTTGAGAAAAACATACTTTTACCACATGTAGAGTTCATATCTTCAAATTTTCATTTCGAAATATTGATGTAAAATGCATTGAAAGGAAAAGTATTTTGGAAAAATAATAAGTACATATAAGGTAAATAGTTACATTTTTTATTATTAAATGCAATAGGCACTGCGATGTGAAAGATATTGAGAACTGCGATTGAGAGCATGGACCGCGACGGCTCGGCTATTCAAACCTCGCTTATCGTCCTACGCTTCTATAAGTTTTTATTTGGCTAATATACCTCATATTTTTGTCGGTAATCAATAATTTTATAATTTCAAAAAACAGGCACATTCTTTCTAAACAAAGTAAAGTTATTTAAACTAATGAATTTTTCAACTAAAAATTCATTATTCATTGTTATACTTTAATGACAATATTTTTTTTCTTTTCAAAGTAATAAATTTCTAATAAAATCTTGAAACATTTGAATGGTCAAAAATTTGTGTAAATTAGTTTGAAAAAAGTTAGAAGCGCGTTCAAACGAGCCCGTAATCGTAATCTTTTATTTATTCATTTGCTATATATTTTCGTTCGGAACTAATTCATATTCTATTTTGTAAGATCCGACTTATTCCTTATGAAACAAAAAAAACTTCGGTTTGTTTACGGAATGTGTAACTTAATTAGTCATAATGACCATTTAAACAATTAAAGTGTTAATAATTTACTAGCCGGGTTTTCATCTGGTCAACTCGAAATTCGGAATCAGCAGTTCAAAATACATTAAAAAATACTCATAAAATTCCATGAACATTCGTCGTACGAAAACCCTTCCGAGTCCTGTATAGACTATTTGTCATCATATATACGAGCGAATACTTGAGATAAACATGTACATATATGCCTACGTGACAAAACCTACATATGCGCATATACGTTTCAAGAAAGTAAGGAGTGGGGAGGATTTCCAAGAAAGTGGCGACAACCATAACGCTGCAACTTGCCGGTTTCTCTGGATGGCCGAGTAGTTGCCGGCTTCGCATTTCTTCTTTGTATCAGTACCTTGTCACTGCATAGCGCTGAGACGAGGCGAATAAGTCTGGAGTTTGTTTCTTCAATCAATTATTTCGTTAGATAACGAAATAATTAAGTGTCATTTTTAATTTTTATTACATTCGTTTGATTTATATATTATTCTTTGCATTTGGTAATATTCGTTATCCGAAAATTCCAATCCAATTGCTAACTAGTTTGGAAAAAAGTTATCTAGACTACGAGGACAAAATCTTACAAGAAAAGAACAAAGGAATCGCCTCGAAGAAAACAAAAACTGATCCCGTAAGTACGTACATAGATGCGCATGTATTAATTTGTTACCACTGTTGGATGCAATGCATTTACCATCAATAATATCGGAACATAACAATTTGTATTAAAATAAAAGTTTATGAGTCTATAATAATAAGTTATGACTGAAAATTTGCGAGAACAATGAGATTATTTGTCCATCTATTTACTTTGGTCGTTACTTTTTTTTGTCTATTCAATGAAACGAATTAAATAGATTAATAACAATAATACATTGTTCAGTAAAGTATGGTAAATTTTATTTCATGAAAGATAGAATTTATTAATTATATTATCACATGACGATTCTGCTAAAAAATTGTATAAAGTGTTACAAATTAATTCATAATTGTATTTTTCTTTATTATACAATTTCTAATTCATAAGTTCATAATTCATTCCAATTATATATTTTTAGTTTTTATACTTCCAAAGTTATCAAAAATGAAACTATAAGCCCTTGTACTATTCAAAAAAATTATATAAAAATAGTGTAGTTTAATTACTATTTTAGAATATGCTTTGCAAGTATTTTTGTATTTTATGAAAGAATTTATATTCTGATAGAATATTTAATTAGCAACTATTAAGTTGTCAATTTGAAAAATAAATATTAAAATGTTAAAGATGTTTGTATTATTATAATAAAAATATATTTTTTCAACTTAATTGAAGATTGAGTATAGTATTGAAAATCATAATTGATAGATGATATGAAAAGATTAGAAAAGAAATATACATAGGCTCTTAAATTTTAGTTATATATGAAATAAAATAAATCAAGTTGATTGTTTTTCAGTCAAAATGCCAAAATCAAAGAATAAGCCTAATGCATTCACAATTTTTTGTCAAGAATGGAAAAAGAAACAAGAAAAACTAGGAAAATATTACTCAATACCTGAAGCAATTACAAATCCTGAATGCAACAAAGTTTGGAAAGTTAGTATATCAATTGCTTCTGTAAAACTAATTTTATGCTTCACTTGTAATCTATTTGTCCTAATGGTCATATCTTCTTGTTACCATATTAGGATTTACCTGAAGAACAAAAAAAGCGGTATAAAACATTAGCTAAAAATGCCAAAATAGATGTAGATATAGATAAAAAAACTGGTTTAGGAGAATCATTGAGTGAAATTACAAAAGCTGAACAAAAGAAAAAAGAATTTATAGATAACATGAAAGAATATATATATTCAATAACCAAGTCAGCAAAGGACAACAATTGTAAGGACATTTCAATGGTTCTTCGATGAATGATTTTTATTCAAGAATTAATTCATGATTAATCGATTGTAAATCCTTACTATTATATGTAAATTTTTAACAGGTGTTCAACAACTAACATTTTATGTAATTCATACAAATTATGCATACAATCGAACACTGATGAATAATGAAGTAGAATATTATCCAGCAGAAATATGTTTAGCACGGTGTTCTCTTCAAAATGGTATAGAAGATGTGTATCATGTTTTAATAAGTGATGTAGTGATGAAAGGTTATAGAAGTGATGCTTTAATTCATAGCAAAGAAACCCACCAAATCCCAATTGAACTTCCCGATGGTAAAAACGATTATCAAGAAATTTTTATGAATTTGTGTAAATTTCTTGAACCTGGGAGAAAAAACAAAACCCTTCCACCATTATACACAATAATGTCAAAGGATGATATTTATTATCCAGTTAAATCTATTTTAGGTAAATTATCTACTGCTAGTGGTAAGTTTTCTTCTTCATGTTTAACATTTGTAGTTTTATTATTTGATATATTTCTGTGATAACAAAATTTGTTCTAGGTGAATATGAAGAATATTTATGTCTTTATGCATTTGAAGATCTATTTGCAGCTATGTATAACGCAGTCCTTGAACAGAGTGGAAATTTTGATTTTGAAAGTATCACAGCTTTCCGTGAAATAAAAAAAGATCCTTATGCTTACAGTCATGACCTGGAATGTGATGTAAATATATTTCATGAATAAATTATTCTTCAAAGTATATCATTTCTGTCAATTAAAAAGATATTCAACACATATTTGTTCACAGTTTCACAAAGCTATAGGAGCTGGTGCACTTCATTGCAGTCAATCTATTGTTAAAAGGTGGTTTTATGTACTATGTGATTTTTGCTGTGATCCCTTAAATATCATTAAAGTAGCTGGAGTGCATACCCCAATTGAAAAGCGGGAGCTAATTCCTCCTTTATCAAGATTAAGTTCTACATTTAGTACATTAAGTTTAAATGATAGTAAATACAGTTCAACTCTTAATATGAGTGAGGTAAACAATCAAGTTGACAAAATGTATGTAATATTACTTTTGTTTTTTTTTACTTAAAGTGGCTGTACATTTTTAGGTAAGCAATGATTATCGGATGCGCTCATTTGGAAAATTGAATCACCAAGCGACCCGTCGGGCAAATGAATCTAAAGCAAAACCATTCCATATTATTGACCACAGTAAAATAAACAAAAAGGTAACTTTTTCTTATTTTATTAAAAGTATTGAAGTAAATTACTATAATATTTAAACATAACATACTTTTTAGATTCCAGAAGTTAGAGAACGACCTCTTCGTCCTCCATATTCCAAAAGTAAGTAGTTAATTTAAAATTTATATTTATACTTCACGAATACACTTTATTTTAGGTACTCTTATAGACGATGACGATGACGACGATGATATTGATGATACTATCGATACCAGAAGTATTGATTACAGTGAAAGAAGCTTTCCTTCTATTGGTAAATTTGTATATCCATAATTGTTTACAGTAAATTACTTCTAAAGAAAATTATTACACATAACATAATTTATAGGTCGCGGAGCTGTGCCAAGAAGAAAAACTCAAGAAAAAAAAAGCTCTGCTGGACATGGTAAGAAATTTAAAAAATGTAATTTAACAAAGCTTTAGAAAGATGGTAATTGCTATATATTTTTACTCAGGTTATACAAATGTTTTGAAATAAATGATGCGGTATACTCTAAATGTAGTCTTCGATTAATAAGTTTCTATGAAGGATGTACAATCAATATTTATTTTTAATATCTTTCTATTCGATTAAATAAGTATTTATGTTTAACACTTTTTTCTGAACCATAAGTTTATAATTTAAAGGTTTTACTATTTGGTGTTCTTATAAAGTAATAATCAACAAATAAAATAATTACAAATTTGAAAGTTTATGATCAGATTTAATTTTATAAGTTATTTTGAAAATTGCGTTATATTAAATTTCGTAGAATACATACATAATTCATAAAATAGAAATAGTATAGCATAACTAACATCAATACTAATTTTTATGTAGGGATTTGAAAATCAAATAAAAAGTAACAATAGACTACCGTACAATATTTTATTAAAACAATGCTATCATAATTTTTGTATAAAAGTTTAGGTACCATCAATAAAATAATCGATAAAACAATAGTTAACAAAATTGACGAACCAATTATTCTTTTTCAAGGCTGATATAATTTTAACATTTAAAATGCGAAATAATAAAGATTAAATTATACAGATTTTATAGAAAAGGTTCTTGACCTTATACCAAAAATCTAAGTTAAAAAATAGGCGATAGATCACTGCATCAGTGTTTGACGCTCATAGACGCACGGATGAGTAACCCCGAAAGATCGTAAATATTACTTAATGTAATTATTCAACATTAAAAACAACGTGGTTTATACTATAAGTAAATGGACGAGTATGATTCGCATGAAGTTATTCAATTGTCGTTGGCTTTACTTCTACGTATACTATTGCGAGACTATTCCTAATATTATCGATCACCTTGGTTCTGGGATGCAACAATATCGTGCCATGTCTTCATTACATTACTCGGTCTATCCGATCTTTTTTGGATTCACAAATCAGTCGAAGAAAAGGTAATCGCTGAAAGAAGTATACTAAAAATATTAATAAAAATAATAGATATGAAAAAATATTGCGTGCGTGCGTGTATGTATGTATTTTATTATATAAAGCGCCTATTAACTCCATAACCGTGTCTCGAACAATACAGTTTCTTTTGAAAACGTGGTAAAATGGTTTTACCATTTGGTTTTATCACCAAAAACACGGATTTGTTCGATTGTACTAAGGTATCAACCTAAGATTAGGAAGGAGATTCCTATCTGATTTCAACAACGATGTTTTCGTTGCAATTGGACGTATCCTCTGAGAAAATATCGTTTTGAAACTTGTGACCCTTTTCAAGATGAAAAAAATTTTATTTTTTTTTTTTTTTGTATCTGTAAGCAAATGTAAATTTTAGTTCATGAAAGTTGACAGTACATGCCCTATTTCAAATGATTTCAGAAAGCCCAACTGGTATAACAATTATCTTTAGGAAATCTATTATGAAAAGTTTGAAAAATGTATTACATATTTGTTATTAATTATGAAATTTTTTTAGGACTTTCTACGTAAGAAGACATCGGACATCGGCTATTAAACATTTAACACGGTGAAAAAAATAGTCAAATAATATGTTATTGTACTGATAATGTTAATATAGTAAATCTATAGTTTTTATCATTGCTTACAGTCTGCACAATCACGGACACATCCTAATGTTAAATAAACAATTTGTTTTTTAACTTTATAATTTCCGTACATGTCCGATGTCTCCCTATGTAGAAAGCCTCTTAATAATTAAGAAAAAAATCAAACAATTTCATTCCAATCAGAAAAGTTATTACTCAATTAAGTTCAATACCAGCCGAGTTTTTTAAGATTACGTATGTATTAGATATTACAATATAGACGACAGGAACCAATAAGGACGTATTGCATCTCAAAAGATTTCTTATATATCCATTTTAACTAGGGATTTTTTATTATTTTTGTAATAATTTACTCTACATTTTTATAGGAGTACAGTTTCATCCTTGTTTTCTTAATATTTATGTTATTATCTCTGGCAGGTATCATTTTACGTCCTAATAAGAGATTAATTGAATTTTACGTCGAAAGTGAAATATATTCAGTTGGATTTGTTGAACTATAATACAATGTAAACCTGTACTCCTACATATTTAACAAGTTTTACCTTCTTGTATTAGTAAATAAAAATATATACCTACCCGTAAAAATATAAATTAATGGACAATCTTAAAATTTGTTAGAAATCATTATCAATTAAAAATAAATCTATAAAATTAATCTGGCAAGGAGAATGATGTTCACATTTGTTTTACATTAATGGCAGCTGAATTAATTTATCAATTAGTTATTTCTTAATTCTGATAAAAGGTTTGAGTATGTACATACATACTTATATTACAACGCAAATGTGATATTTGTTATAATTCTGATTTCATTACGAATAAAGGAACTCTACGGGTAATCGATGAATATTGACCCGATAAAATTATTAAAAAATTGCGCATGATTAGCAACCATAGCAAAAATCATCCGCAATTTTTCTGTACACTGAAATTATTATTATAACTAATTGTTTAAAAAAATCAGTAAATCGAATTATCGTTATTGCTCATTACGGAGTCTGAAGGATTAGTAGACTGAAAATTATAAAGAAAGGTGTGTGTGCGCACGCGCATGTGTGTGTATGTGTGTGTGTGCGCGCGTGTGTATGTGCGTATAGCTGCCCGATACAAGAAAATAGATCTATATTACTGACTAATTTTTCAGATGCGTATTTCATTATAATAAGAAATACTATTTATTTATTTAATTGATGATTATATGATATTTTGGTCAAAAAATCGCGCTTAATTTTTGCTAACGATTCAACACATTCATTTCTATAAAGCCGAATTTATAATTATTTCTATAAAACACTGCAGATTTTATTTCTACTGATCTGGGAGTGTTAAACTTTTGAAATTTTTTCATTGGTGAAAACTAAATTGTGCAGAGTTAGTAATGAATTTTACTATCTTTGTTAATCAAGTGCAATATTTCTGTAATCTTCCCGGGTTGATTTTGAATTTTTGTCCATTTGTCGTTGAAACCCTTCATCCTAATGCAAGGTAAAATAGTTGGTGTTTCAACAGTAATTAATGTTTGGTGTTTATTACTGGATACTGGACAAAACATCGTAAGCATACTTTTCATTCTTGACCCTTACATTGACATTTCTAAAAGAAATTATTCAAATGATTACCCTTATTTAAATTGTAATTATTTTAGCTACAGTATATTTATTACTTTTTTATTTCTTCCTTGATTTTGTAAGCTTTGTATACATTTTGAACATATAAACAACTGCCTGTTTTTATCTATTAAAATGTGTTATGAAAGCTTCGTTCTAATGTGAATTATAATGAATTGTCTGTTCTAAAAGAGTAATAGTAGCTATAATAATTTTATAGTTAAAATTCACTTGATGCTATCAACATTTTTTAGGATTTTGTATTGATTTTCAATTTATACATTATCTTTTATTGTAAAATATATTTTTGAAGAATGCAATATACCACAGATTTTCTGCTAATACTTGACTTTCTCACATTTTTTGAAATTAAATTTTGAAGGTTTTATTTGAAGCTGTGTTTGATTGGTGGAGGTAGAACGACTTAATTCTAAACCTACTTATTTTCAAATACGGAAAGAAAATAACTTTTATATGTTTTTGAACAATCTTGAGTAAAATGCCTTCCAATAGAAACAAGCAAAATGCATTTTACTACTTTATGCTTGATTGGAGAAAACAAGAAGAAAAAAAAGGATGTGTATTTAATAATATGAAAGAAGTGCAAAGTGACCCTAAATTGAATCAAGCATGGAGAGTGAGTAAATTAATTTCATTCTAATTGTACAACCAATTTCATTTACATATATATGTATATATATATATATTTTTTAGAATTTGACAAGCAATGAAAAACTGATTTATAAAGAAAAAGAAAGAAATTGTAAACTTAAACAAAATCTTAATAAAAAAACTAACTTGGGAGAATCTGTTGACGAACTTTTACAGATCCAAATAAGAGAAAAAGATTTTCATAATCGTATGAAAGAATATATATCATCTATTATAAAAGAAGCTAAAAGGAATAATAGTGAGTGGATTTAAAATTAATGTATAATTGAAAGTTATTAAAATTAATTTTAATTGAATGTTAAATTATTTTGCAGGTGTATATACATTGAAATTCTATGTGATCCATGTAAATTATTATTGTATGTATAATTGTGAATCTCCATATAATTATAGCCCAGCTGAAATTGCTTTAGTAGAATTTTCTTTAGGAAAAGGAGTTATGAGATCCTACCAAAAGATAATAAATTCAGAGATAAAAAAAGGATATGCCTATGAAGTAAATATTCATTCAAATAGCAGTCACCAAATTCCAAGAGAACCAGATTTTGGCGAAAAAAATTATGGTCAGATTTTTAAAGAAATATGCCAATTTGTAAGATCTAACAAAGAAAATGAAAGGTTACCCCCATTGTTTACATTGTTTAATGTAGAACAAATAAAAAATTCAGTAATGTCTGTGATAAATTTGTTAGCCAATTTTGATCGTAAGTTTATCTAAATCGTCTTCTAAGTAGTATTAATTTTTGATTTATTGCATTTTTAATTTTTTTAGAGGAATGTAATGATAATTTTGATGTATATTCATTTGAAGAGCTCTTTGTTAATTTATACAACAATTTGAAGGCTGAGAGTGATAATGCAATAGATGAAGTAATTGTTTCTTTACAAATTAAAAAGGATCCTTTTAATTATAAAACTAGTCTTTGTTGTGATGTAAGTTGAGTTTTCATTATCATTGCTCATCACGTAAACTAATAAAACAATTGATAAACATCTTTTTGTAATTTTAGTTTCATAAAATTGGTTGTGGAGGAAACTTCTGTAGTAAATCAATTGTTCAGCGATGGATTTTTGTACTGTTTTCATATGTTTGTTCATTACTGAAAATAAATCTCATTCCAGGCTATCATATGCCAATTGAAAATTTAGATTTTAATGATGGACAGGAATTAAATAGATCTTTTGCTGCATTAAATATTTTTGGAGATACACGTAACTATCGATTACCATCAAATTGGGTAATTACATCAAATCTTTAATTAAAAATATAACAGTAAAATAATGAAAGAATATTTTTTTACATTAGAAGAATGATTGCAATATGTATATGCTATAAAAATTCTTACAACAAAATTAGAAAAGTGACTAGTATTTATTTGCAAAAAAATGTAACATGACAATGTTGATCAGAATTAATAATTTTGAATCATTATGTATTCTCTCAAAAATACCACTTACAAAAATTTTGTATAAATGGTAACTAAATGATAATTATATCGAACATAAACACTTTAGTGAGCCAACCAATATTAAATCTCAATAATAAATAATAAAATAATGAATAAATCACGACAATTCATATTAATAGATTTAAATATCACAAAGTAACTGCACTTAATTTAAAATTAACTTGTTGAAAAATCTTATAAAATTTACATAATTTTACAGTATAGCGTACATTTTTATAAATGAACACATCTAATTATAATTTATTATTTTTCTAAATCATTTGTTTGTTTATTACAATATGATTTTTAAATAAATTTTAAATAAATAAATCTGTGTAAATTGTTTTAAAGACTACCAATTAAAATTATTCTCTCTTAAATTTTTTTAACGAAAATTTATTTGTATTTGTCCAGAACTCTAACAATACTACAAAATCCCCTTCTGAAAGAACATATAGAGATGAAGAAGTACGAAAATCTCAATCAAAACCATTGATTATTTATCAAGGTTCATTCAAACATGGTTCTACAAAACATTCAATATCTTCACACGAGCAATCTTATCCTTTGTCAGTAGAAGGTGAGTTAAATTATTTGTAATAACATACAAATGTTTGTCACTGTAACTAATTTAAATGTTAATTCCATAATTAAATTTAAATAGATTTCCAAAGTGATAGATCAGTTGGGATTCATATACCTGAAAATAAATTTTCTTCAATTGGTTAGTAAAAATTAGGTTCATCATAATTTGTATTCAGCATTTAATATGAGTAGAATAACAATTAAAATTATATAATAATCTAATTTTTGATATATTAAATTTTTTAATAATGTAATTCTTTCTTTAGGTAGAGGGGTAACTCTCAAACGATATATACAAAAAAATAATCTTTGAATGTTGGTAAGTATTTTTCTGCAATTATATACTATATTTTTTAAATATTGAATGCAATTACATGCTCAACATTTTTATGAATGAACTAGCTTGAAAATTGAAAAACTTCTTAACTTATTCCTAAAATTGTAAAAGACAGATTCTAAATATTCATTTTTCATTATTTTTTTGATCATTCCAACCTCTTCATTAAATTGAAAAATTCAATTAGTTCTGCATTACCTTACTGTTTTTTTGTTATTTGATCAGTATATGATGTATTTGATACTAATTCCATCTATAAGACAATTATGTAAATAAGTTATTTATATATCATAAATAACATTTATAATCACGTTGTAAAATAACATAAAATGAATTGAATTTTATCAAGAAGGGAATTTGAACTTCATGGTATTATCTACTAATATTTAATTTATCTAATTTTTTTTGCAAGATCTACATTTTATTTGGAGTGAAAATAAGTAGAAACTTCAACAAATGAAAATTATGACAGGTAGGTCATTTGATATTATAAATGATAATTCGTGTATAGTTTGAGCAGACAAGTTAATAATAATTTTATAATGATACTAAACTTTCAATTTTTCAGTATAATTATCTTCAATGACAATTTATGAGAATTTTATATTTTATATTTTTTTATATTTGTAAACCCTTTTTTATTCCGTAATAGATTTTTTCTGCAGTGATCATACGTGATTAAGTAAATACCATTTTTTAAGTGATTCCTACACATTTGTTAAAATGTTATATACTTTGTAATTTATCCAATATATTTGCTTATTTACAGCATTGTCATTGATATTTTGAAATATTAGTTATGATTTGATATAGTATAGATAATTGACTTAATATAATTTTTATAGATTGGTTTATCTTATTTCTAATTACTAAAGCAGTTATATTTGAATAGAAGAAAGTGTCAGGTGATAATTTTGTAAAATCTTGTTAAATGAATTGATACTGTTCAGCTAGTAAATAACAACGAAAGTGGTATTTTTAATATATTTGTAAACATTATGTACATTATTAAAATGAATTATAAAAATAAGTAATTTTATATAAAATAAAGAAATGTTACGTTTTAACGGAATATAATGATGATTAGTAATTATTTTGGTAATACTATCTGGATCCTCGTTTGGAAACGTCTGTATGTAGAATTTGGTGCATTAACTAGAAATATTAATTGGAAATAAAATCATTTAAACAACCTGCACAAATTGATCGGGAAAAGCGTCGGGTTTGAATAAAATTCGACAATGAAATGTTGGTTTGGGGATGGTCGATTGTTATTCAATGTCTCATGTCATGTGATGAAACTGATATTTATGCAAAATATAAAAGCTAGCCGCGGTGATAGTTATGGAACGAATGGATGTATGTAAAATAATGTAGTGATTCGATTTAAAAAGAAGTAAAGGTGAGAATTCTACTCACCTTTCAATCTGAAAGGAGACTTGGAGGGGCGCCCGCGAGGCGTGCCGAACGTCAGCCTCTTATACGCGTACATACCTTTCAGTCATCGCGCAAGACTCGCAGGAGTCGTGCGGTCCGCGCACATTCTCAGACTTAACTCGTGCATAAAAGTAGCGAGCATACGGAAGACTGCAAACCTGAACCAAACTAGTGTACCGCTTCTTCCCTCAACAGTATCCTGGCTTATTCTTTCAAATCGCCTTTTTTGACTCAGAACTTTGTTGTACGTTCGCGTCATTTCATTGGTGAGTCAGATTTTTCAATAGCTCTACGCCAAGCCTTGACTACATCTGTCTAGGCAGTGACAGTGTCAATTGAAGTCGCGTGTGCCAGAGAAACCGAGAGAGCAACTTTACTTGTTGCTATCGATATTTTAGGCTTTTATAAATTTTACCAATAACTAGATCGACGTCGAAACTATAGATAATGAGTTTCATGACAAATGGTGATTTGGAAACTTCGACACAACACTATCTCATATGCCTTGCTTTCTGCATATCTTATCTTTGCCATTTTATCAGTCCAAAGATGTTCATATATAAGAAATTTCAAAAGAGTCGCTTGCATAAATATAGTTTCAAGTGTATATGCATATATATAATATAGTAATTCCTTCAGCTGCTCTGTATCCATAACAAACCGCTTATTTTTTACTGGCTATAGTGACTCATTCGGTAAGTGTTGCAAACAAAGCGTCATTTTTGCCACTTAAAAATACATTGAATTTTCACGCAGGTTGTCGTCATGTATAAATAACATGTTACTCTCATGAAAGCTTTTGCCATTGTTGATTCGAACATTCGGTCTTTATTGACGTATATCAAACATCGAAGAAAGCAAATGCAAGGTCTCTTACATCTGAAATAGATCCGCGGAAAGCCAGCGAGGATCGACTAGTATTGTGCATGCTTGTCTTGCTATATACAGCACAAATAAGTGCACGACAAATCGGGTGCGCGTACGATAAGAAATGTAGTAAGCTCGTGGCCAAAGACGCAAAAGTTCCGATTTGCTTCCGGCTGATTCAAGCAGGCGTCGGACGCTACGTGACTGTTGAGCTTGAACATTGTGCAAGTCGAGGCGTGCAATTTAGTCAAGCGATAATATAATTTTCAAAGCAAATTAGTAAGAACTGACGCAGACTTGGGATGACGAGAAAAATGTATAGGCAAGGCGAGGCGTCTTTGAAACAGGTGTTCGTGCGCCCTGGCCAGTCGGTTGGTGTTGACCGGTTTTTTCAGCGCCATTAATGGTAATCCGTAATCAATTTCATCTCTTTTACCGAGCCTCTATCAGGCAGAGACAAGCTGAAAAACAATCGCGCTCTCTTTAATGATTCTGATCACACTCCTGAGCACACTAGCAACGGTCGATCGTTAGCCGCTGCACATTCATTCTCCCGCTTCGACTTGCTATTAATGCATTATTAATGTATTTTTTTATTTGAAATACCTAATGCACACCGTATTAATTATTCAATTACTCGAATTTGCTCCTTCATACTTAAAATAACATTCTCAAACTTTGGCATGCGTCTTTTATGTTAACCGATTTCACTCTTCTTGCGCAAACAAAATAAGTTACTTGACAGAAATATGCGTTTGCGTGATTTTTAACTTTGGAAAGGTTGAGACATCACGCCTCACGTTGGAATCAGAGTTGATAAAAAAAAAGGAAAAGAAAAACAAGGGTAATATAATCGTCGGGACGAGATGACGTGACGGCACGAAAGCTTTTTACGACGTTACTCGCGCATATAAATTGAACACACTCGATTTTCGTTTGATCGAAAAGCAAACGTATGCAAGGACTTGATTTTGACGCCAGTGAAGGCAACAGACCTTAAAATTATAAATGAAATTAATCATTAGATTGGATATCCTACTAATTTGTTCTCGATGCTTCGAAATCGATGGCAAAATCGAAAAGCAAAAGTAAGCGGTTGAAGGTGACGACAGCCAAGTAGCCGATACGAGGAGCAAGCGGTACGATTAATACGACGAAGCTGCAGCTGCGCTTGTGCAAACGTGCCCACTAGTGGATTATAGGTGCGTGCAGGTTCGAGGCAACATTTACGCCAGCTCGTCGTGTCGAACGATGACAAGTGTCATTTTTAGTTTTTTATCATGCGTCGCTTGCACCCTGGGGAACGAGGCTGTGCTAGGAGTAGAGCCGCGGCGCCAGGCCTGCGCTCTCGGCCGTGGCGTTTTCAGCTGTCTTACGTAAATATTAAATTGGCGCGCCGCGTCTTCTGGCCTTATAAAAAAATAATCCGATGCGCGTGTTGATGAGGGCAGCTCGCGCATATCTTGGAACCGAGTAGGAACCGTTTTGCCGAGTAGCAAGTCAGCTAATTGGCACTCACGACACGTATTTTAATTTAAAAGTCGACATCTCTTGGCTCTATTTGATTAGCAGAGTACTGTATGCTCGGTCTGGCTAATGCGCTTCCAGTAGCTCTGCCGGTTAGTTCAGAGCTTGGACGTTTCATGTTTGCAGGATAAGCTTGGCTCGTGCGCCAGTAGGCTGTTTCTCGGGCTGACTGCAGGTCGCTCGGCCACGGCACGGACGGGACGAACGGAGGGGAGATGGAGCAAGTGCCGCAGGACGGACGCGTGTCTGGCCGCTGAAGCTGATAAGGCAGACGCGAGCAGGGAACAGGACGAGCCGGCACGGCGATAAGCCGAGCTCTGCTCACGCCCACACGCTTAGACGCCACAGCGGACAAACGCGCTTTCCTTGGCATCGCCGCCAGTTGTCCTTGTAAGCCCAAGCGATGCAACTCGGATGCCGCAGCTTCTGCTCTCCTCTCAACCTCTGCAATCACTGCCAATCTCGTTCTTTTATCTCGTAGGACACGAACGCTTGGTGACTCGGAGACGCTGACGGTTGACACCGAGAACGAGCACCACAGTCAGTTGCCGCAATGGGTACCGGAAGCGCAACCAAAGGTAATCCTACTGTATGAGTTTTTCGGCACGATGAACTTGCAACGAATGGCCTTAGCTCTCTCAGTATGCTACCATTTCGAACAACAGCATGCCAATAAGGCGTCGAGGCTCGCAGTGCCGCGCGAATCATTCAGCAATTTGGTCACGCGTCGGCGATGTTCGGTCGATGTTGCATTGTTGATAAGTTGCAGCCAGCGCATGTAGCCTTGACGAAAATGGAAAGACCGAGGCGCAGTGACTTCTCGTTGGGAGCTTGCGCGATACCGATTATACGCGCGTACAAATGTCAAAGCCGGAAAACGATGACTGATCTTCCAAGAATGGAAAAGATTCTCGAAAAGATGCACCGACCGTTGAAATTGGTCTGGGCCAAGTGAAGTCGCTCGGAGTGGAGCCGAATGCAAGCAGACAATGCAAGTTGGGTCGCGGGCTAGCCTGATTGGTATGCAGTTGAGGAAGCCGCGACCGGATGCCGCTTGGCGCAGCCGAGCCGAATCAACAAATCGCCTTTCCTTTGACCGTAGTTAAAAGCACGCGTCTGCCTGTAACGAAGGAGCATATATCACTCGGTTGCACAACAGTCCTTTCAGCTCTACTCTAGCTTTGCTGTTTGTTACAGACAAAGCCACCTCGCGGCTCAGACCAATCAAAATCACCGCAGTCGGTGACGGCATGGTCGGCAAGACCTGCATGCTCGTCACGTACACGGACAAAAAATTTCCCATGGAATACATACCCACCGTGTGAGTTTTGGCGTTCGATCAACGCCGCTCGCCTGCCATTTGGCGCCAACACTCGATCACATTTTCTTTTGCTTGTTGCAGCTTCGAAAACTATCCCAAGACTATCGAAGTGGATGGTCGAGGATACGATGTCACCCTGTGGGACACCGCCGGTCAAGAAGATTACGAAAGGCTTAGGCCCTTATCCTACCCTAATGTGAGAATCCCATTTCTTTTATACGATGTCTAAATGATGCGATACTCATTCAATATTTCATTGGCATTTCTTATAGACTGACTGTTTTCTGTTGTGCTTTTCCATAAGTGCACGTAGCTCCTACGAAAACATAGCCAGTAAATGGTATCCGGAACTCAAGATTCATTGTCCAAACATTCCAATCATCCTCATAGGTATCGCCTATTGTTAGTTTTGTTCTATCCACCAAATGTAACAACCACTTTTAAACCCACTGCAGGTACCAAAGGTGACCTTAGAACCGAAGAAGCTGATATAATAACACCTCATGAGTGCAAGAAAATGAAGAAGAAAATCAAAGCCTTCAAATATCTTGAGTGCTCGGCAAAAATGCAAGAAGGTTTGGATGAGGTTTTCACGGAGGCCGTTCGCGCAGTTTTAAAAAGACCGACAACCCGCAAATTATGTTGCATGATGTGAAATAATTTAGTACAGTGCGACATTTACATCTTTTGCTGACGTCAGTTCGCACCAAAGACTTTTTTATTATTTACTACGTGACTTGCAATATTTTGTTAGCTGTTTTTTTATCAATTTTTACTATATAAGCTGAATGCCACTTTCTATCTTTTCTTTTTCATCTTCAATTCATTGTAAATATATGTGTAAACTAAATTTCTTTTCAATTTCTATACTTCATCATGTCCATTGAAACGTACTTGTTTTCATTTAATTTTTGTAGTCATTAAGTGTTACTCATATGTACAATTAGACATGAGATATTCCTTTGACAAATGTGCTATACTATATATCAAGATTTTCATAATTTAGCCATAAAAAAACTCTGTTTCTTACATTATATATTTTGCATTAATGTACATCTATTCTTTTGAACTTCAAGATCCACCTATTAAATAATATTAAGAAGGTGATTTTGAAACAATTTAAATAAAACTAAAATATGGCAAAACTTTTTGATTAATTGTACATTTTATAAAATATTTAAGTAATAGGTTTAACAGTGAAATTGAGAAAGTATTGATTAAATAATTTAAAAAATGATTGATCATGTGTTTTCCTCTAAACAAAATTTTTAATAAATAATAGTTTATTTTTAGTTTATGTACAGAGTCAAATTTCCTTATTATACTCAGTAAAAAAATTCAATGAGTAAAAATACTTTTATGACGCATTGAAAAACCTGTAAAGCAAAAATATTCGACACTATGGTTTCATAATAATAATTATGATGAAAATTTTAGAATTTCAACAAAGATATACAATGAATTATTGTGGTAGGTTTTACAGGTTTTTCTGTCTTATCAATTAATTAGAAATAATTTTTCTAACAAATACATTGAATAGACCGTTTTAGTTTTTAATTTCACTAAAACTAATTGTAGTATCAATTGCTTTAATTTCCAAATTATTTAAAACTCAAAATAATATGCCATGATTCTTTAAAACAATGTTAATTTTTGAAATATCTTATATAATAATATATATATACTTATACTATAATTTATATACCAAATATTATCTTTTTTGATAACTCAAAATGTTCCTTCCCCTATAGGTCCTACTTTTTGCTGCAAAATTTTTCCATAACCACCTCGACCACTATCAAAGTCTGACCTATACTCGTCTCTAACCTGTAAAATTTGTTAAATTTGAGTTTTTGTATAGAAAAGTATACAGTGATAACATGAATTTTTTACTTTACTCACTTGACCACCAGTTTTTCCTCTACCATACTGTCTGCCTTCGATGAAACCAGCATCATAGTCTGTCCTAATTATTCGATCATCAAGACGAGTACCATTTATGTAGCGCATACAATTTTCAGCATCTACCCTTAGGTAATATTCCAGAAAGCAAAAGCCACATGGAGTTTTCTTATATTTATCAAGTCCCATAATAATCCTTTTTATGTCTCCACATTTTGAAAATAACTCGTATATTTGCTCTTCTGTTGTGTAAAATGATAAGTTACCAACATATAAAGTTGTAGAAGTTCTAAGAAGTCTGTCTTGCTCTGCTCGAGAACCCTAAAAGTTTTATTTCGTATTTTTCATTATTTAATTATTTATCAATTAATAAAAGCCACATTATTATGGTGAACGTTTTCTTGTGCCTGAATTTCATAGTTCAAAAGTAATAGATATACTAACCTTAAAATGTTGATCTCTGTAAGAACTTAGCTCGACCGATGGTGAACTAATATTCATTTTTATTTATGATATTTCAGTAAAAAAAAGCTAAATTATTAGATAATTAACAACAAATCAAATCACAACAAAGCTGACAATTTTTTTTTTTTACGGTGAGAGATTCTCACCGTACTTTACTTTCAAGCTACAGCTTTAATACTAATGCAAATGCTTCTCCTTTGGCCTTTGGTTATGAATATTATGATATGCATGGCTATTGAGTTTGAGTATCGACAAGCGACAAGCCGAACAATCTCAACTTCTTACATTTCATGGCGTGCAATGCTTAGGCTTTGCCTTGCCACCATCAGGTGTCAGTGTAAAGCCATTTTTCTTCACTCATTGGAGGGAGACTTGAGCTAACACGTGCTGATCGATTAGCCAGCTTTCATTGTCAAATCCTTATATAATTCTGATTGTGTCATTGAGTGGCGTTTCCTGAGACGCAATAATTTTTTGCACGTGTTGTTTTAAACAACTCGGCCGACTTCAATTACAGACGAATCATACCGGGTTCGCCCGGTTAAATTCCTAACCTCTACTAACAGAATAATCAACCACAGCCCCCGCATGACGGGCGGCTTGATCATGTCGAACGAAGATCCGTCGAAGATGGACTCCGAAGAGAACGATGACGGAACCGGGAAAAAAAACATTTTAAAAAGAAACAGACAAGATGATAATGAAAAAGATTTAGAACTTGAAAAAGTTAAACGTTTTACAGCCGACAAAAACGACAGAACTCAACCACCTGGAAATCAAAACAAAACTGCCGACTCTTTTAGCCCGAACAACAGAGGTCCTTATGGTATATGGATAAAGAGGAAGGATGAAGACAAGAAGGTACTCAGTGCATACACTGTAGGTAAATTGATTTTCAAAAAATATAAGAATGTCGAGGATATAGTTAATAGAGGTAAATTCAAAGTCGAAATATTATGTAAGAACAAAGATGAAGCCAACAAGATTTTACAGGATGAGTGCATAAAGGCCCGTAATTTAGAAGATGTTATACCTGAATAACGAAAGACTAGAAAAGGTTTAATTAGAAGAGTTCCTCTAGAATTAACAGAACAAGACATACTAGAAGCAGTCGACTCTCCCATAGAAGTCGTGTCTGCTAAGAGACAAAAAAGGAGAAACCGCGAAACAACGGATGATAGTAACAAGTGGTTGGACACTCAAACCATACTACTAACATTTTCTGGGCAAATTTTACCTGATAAAATCAAACTATTGTTCGTGAGAACTCATGTAGAGCCATACGGTAATAAGCCTATGCAGTGCTATAATTGTTTCAAATTCAATCACACAGCCAAAACTTGTAAGAGTAAAAAGAAGTGTATCATGTGCGGAACAAAAGAGGAAGATCACCAAAACAATGAGGGAAGTTGCCCAGCTACAGCACCGAGCTGTAGTAACTGCCAAGGTTCACACAAAAGCATTAACTCTTCTTGCCGAATTTACATGAATAATGGCAATATAACAAATGAAATAATGGCATATGACAACATATCATTTGTCGAGGTCAAAAAGCTTATTTTCACCGACTTAGAAGCGCCAACTAGAACCAAAGAACACTACCCTGCCTTCTCACAGAAGCAGAGCAAGAATTACTCCAAGGCGGCCAATGGAAACAAAAATAGACAAAGAAATCTCAAAGAAAATAACGAAAACTTTGATGCTAGTGTAGATTCAGAATTTAATGATGACCATATTCAATTACAAAATTCGAACTTTGATTTAAATAATCATGTAGACTACTCTACTAACTACAAAACTTCTGATATTTCCTCTCAAACATAGAAAAGCGCTCATTATATTTAAGCTCCAGCTAGCTCTGGTGCATTCACTACAACTACTAAAAATCAAGACTCTTCAGACAACAAAATCAACGGAGCTAACAGCGGAGCCAGCAACGGGGCCCTTCAGCAACCAGCGCTGCCAGCGGTTACTCCAACCCCTGTATCACCCCCACCAATACCGCCGAAGCCGCCGAAACCTCTCAACTCGGAGCGGACGGCACCTGCGACGATTCTCTCGACAAAGGAATCTCGGCCGCTTGACGGCACTATCAATAGACTCAGTAACAGAATAATGAACAATTCAAGTTTACCTGTAAAAACGTACGGTAAGAATGCATGCAAGCAAACCGCGAATTCCAAGTCTAAGTAGTTTTACATTCGTCTCTTCACGTAATAAGTCATTATTAATATATCTTTTTTCTAAACTAATTATGGATATTTTCAATTTTAATATATTACAATGGAATTGCAGAGCAATTTCAAACAAACTGTGTTTACATAACTACGATTCTGAATACGATATCATTTCTTTTTCCGCTGCGCATGCGCAGTAATACGTTAATTTGAATTGCTAATCTACCCTACGAAAATCTTTTTTTTCTCTATTTTTAGAGAGGGTACAAATTCTAAAAAAGCATTTTTCTGATGGTACAAATTAAAATGAAACTAGTGGTATTTTTTTCTTTTATGATATCAATCATTTTTCTCCCAGGAGTATGAGTTTTCCGCAATATCGTTTTTTTCGCTTTTTGTTTTTTAATTTTGGGGGGGTACAAATTCCAAAAAATGAATTTTCGGGTGGTACAAATTAAGACGAAGCTAATGGTATATATATATATTTTTTTAAATCCATCATTTTTCTGCCAGGGTCGTTTCGATTTTTAAGACCATACGTTAACTTAGGATTTTTTATATTAACATGTCTAATCCAATTTTAGAGCTTAAAAATTACAATAAAACTATTTTCAGTTGGTAAAATTTAAGGTAAAGCTAGAAATATATTTTTTTCTTAAGAAATAAAAGATTTTTCTGTAAAATTTATCAGTATTACAATCGCACAAAAAACATTGTATTATTCAAATTCTACAAGGATACAAATTAGTTTTATGTATTTTTTAGTTGGTACAAATTAAGAAGAAGGCATTCATATATATTTTTTTAAATCGCATATTTTTCTGCTGGAAGATAGATTTTCCGCCGCGCATGCGCAGTAATACGTTAATTTGAATTGCTAATCTACCCTACGAAAATCTTTTTTTTCTCTATTTTTAGAGAGGGTACAAATTCTAAAAAGGCATTTTTCTGATGGTACAAATTAAAATGAAACTAGTGGTATTTTTTTCTTTCAAGATATCTATCATTTTTCTGCCAGGAGTATGAGTTTTCCGAAATATCGCTTTTTTTTAAATTTGGGGGGGGGGGGTACAAATTCCAAAAAATGAACAAATTAAGACGAAGCTAATGTTATATATATATATTTTTTTTAAATCAACCATTTTTCTGTCAGGGTCGTTCCGATGCGTTTGTACGCCCTCGTACGCGCGTATATGTGCATATGTGGCGGGGACCTTAGACCCCGGTCCCATAGCTACGTATAAATGCGGACGGATACGGACGCGAATCGCAACTCTAGTAACATCACTAAAAATATCTAGTTCGATTATTTAGTACCAACACTACCGGTAGTAAGCAAAAGTAATTGTTGTTTAAAACTGTAACGCCGAACGTAACACATTTAATGAACGCTTATCTAACCTTTATATTATTGCAGTATATAAGATGGCAAATGATAGAGAATAGTAAAATCAAACGAACTTGCCGTGAAGTTCGATTTAGATTATATTCCATCTAGTTCGAAGATATTACAATGTAGTTCCCCTTCGCCCTGCGAGATGTCACACCTTTATCGACCGAAAAAAAAGAGCGGCATTGGTGCGGTTTGAGCCGGCACCTTTCGCTCTTCGTACTGTACCTCATATGCTTTAGAGACTGAAGTAAGATTAATAAGAAAAAGAGCGCTGGGATAGCATAAGGGACGAGGGCTTATGATTTAAAGAGTGGGTTGTAATATCTTCGAACTAGATGGAATATAATCTAAATCGAACTTCACGGTAAGTTCGTTTGATTATACTAATATATTACATCTAGTTCACAATATTACAATGTAGTTCTTTAGAGAGTACAATAAATCAACATGCATTTACAGAATTTATTATTTAAGTTCTTAATAATAATACGTGGGACATAAGGTACAAATTTACTAGACTAAGAATCAATAACGTTTCGTGCGAATCTTTGCGTTTCTAAGAATAAAATTGGCCTATTATAGAATCTTGCAAAAACTTGAGATCCCGTTGACCAGCTAGCAGTTCTTCTTATGGTATCTATGTCTACTCCTTTAGAATGCGCTGAAGATGTAGACGCATGTCTAGAGTGAGCAGAAAATATCGTAAGATCAATTCCACTCTTCTCTAGAACTAGCTTTGCCCATCTACTAACAGTCTGAGCAGTGATACCTTTAAAGGGTTTTCTTGTCGCGATGAAACATTTTCTTTCATTGTTTAATCTATGAGATTTAGAAACTTTACAATAATAAAGAAGTGTAGTACCCACGTAGTTCTCTGGTTTATCGATACAAAACGGTAAATAGAGCAGTGGTTGCATTTGGCCAGGAGCTGATGTCTTCATTTTGTCCGTAATGTAAATAAAGACTCCATCTTTAGAAGATGAGATGTTTTCTAATTTAATGCTAGCTATCGTTTGCGCTCTATGGCCAGTGGCTAATAATAAAAGCATAACCGTCTTATAAGATAATTGAGAAAATGTTAATTCTTCCAGCGGATGAAGAGTCTTGAGATAATTGAGGACAATAGCGACATCCCATGTGAAAGCGTATTTAGGTTTCGGTGGACGTAGCTTAGCAACTCCTTTCCAAAATCTGGAAATGTGCTCGTCTGCTCCAATCTTGTCCGAAATCAAGGAAAGTGCCGATCTATCTGAATTGACAGTCCCATAACTTACTCCGTCCTTGTATCTGTCCATTAAGAAACGTAAAACAGAATTCTTATTTGGTTTGTATGCATCGAAGTTATGGCATTCGCAGAATTTGAACCATTTATTGTAGACCACATTGTACTGCACCAATGTTGACTTGGAGACCGAGACTGCCATAATATCCGCCGCTTCCGGAAAAATCCCATTCATAATGTAAGCTATCCTGATATTTTTGCGACTATCATGGACAGAGTTGTCGCTCTTCAATGAGGAATTGTCCTACAAGGCGACAATAACAAATCAGGTCTAGGTTTGAAAACAATTTTCTCTGATATAAGAGAATTAAAAAGTGGATACCAAGGCTGATTTGGCCAGTCTGGTACCACTATAATACCCGAAGCCTTTTCTCTTTTAATCTTGGAGAGACACCTGAGTATTAGAAAAAAGGGAGGAAATACGTAGAAGTAAAAGGCTGACCCTTTAGTAGTAAATGCGTTAACCAAATATGCTTCTGAGTCGGGAAACCATGAGCAGTATTGAAGGCATTTAGTCTTATGTTTATTAGCGAATAAATCGATTTCCAGGTTACCAAAATTACGAACGATCAATTTATAAGCACGGTTGCAAATCTCCCAATCTGTATCGTTATTACTGATGCGAGAGAGAGCATCAGCTTCAACGTTGTCGGCAGATGCGATATATGAGGCGAATAAGAAAATACGTCTTTCTTTAGCCCATTGCCAAATCTCTCTTGAGAGTTTATTATACTTAGAGAACCGAATACCACCCATCTTATTAATGTAGGAAATGGCTGTGGTATTGTCTATGCGAAGAAGAATTTGGCTACCTACTTGGATAATACCTAGATGGAGCAAGGCGAATTTAACCGTAAGCAACTCTTTATAGTTGATATAGAAGTGCCTCGGATTCTCATCCCAGACACCGTAAATGCTATTCATGCCATCTGTAGCACCCCAACCCAAGTTGGATGCGTCCGTGAAAATAGTCTTATCGAAGGTGGTTGATCTGATCGAACTAATAGAGACTCTGATGCTTTTCTGCCACCATGATATTCCTTGATGAATGTAAGATGGCAGAGTAATAATGGCTGCGTAATTATGATTATTTAGTATTAGGGAATTAAACTTGAAGGACTCGAGAATCTTTGTGTACAGCCAGCCGTAGTCAACTGCTGGAAATGAAGAGACCAATTTACCAACAATCTGTGCAAGTTCTAAAATAGAACAGCGAGCTTTACGCTGGAAGTTATCTAGAAGCTCCAAGATGCGATTTCTCTTATCGTCTGGTAGTTCAATTGTAAAATCAATTGAGTTGATGTTAAAACTTAAAAATTTACATTTTCGAGATGGAACTAGAACGCTCTTCCCATTAATAAAAAATCCTAGACTAGTCAGAAGCTCTAGTGCTGTGTGGACAATATGAGAACAGTCAGACTTGTTTTCAGCGATGAAAATAAAATCATCTAAATAAATAACTACCTTGAACCCTCTGATTCTTAAATATTGAACAACAGGTTTCATAACCTTAGTAAAAATAAAAGGGGCTGTACTTAATCCAAAGGGTACACAGGTAAATTGATAGATGTTGCCATTAAAGGAAAATCTAAGAAGTTTTCTAGATTCTACGTGAACCGGAATCATGAGATAGGCATCTTGAAGGTCAATTGAAGACATGTAACAACCGGGTGAAATGAGGTGAGTAACTGACCTAAGATCTTCAAGCTTGAAATGATCAGTCTGAATGAAAGAATTCAATTTCTTAAGATTGAGAATGAATCTATCAGTACCGTCTTTCTTGGGGATTAGAAAGTAAGATGAAAGAAATTGACAATTAGAAGAGGTACAGCATTCGATTGCGCCCTTGTCAAGTAAATTGGCTATGGCGATCTTGTATCGTTCTACATCTCTACTAGGAATGTTAATAATAGGTGGGTGTAACTGAATTGGCTCAGTGAGAAAGGCAATTTTATAACCTTTGATTATTTGTAATACGTGATTGTTAACCCCAATATTCTCCCACTCTTCAGCAAAAAATTTTAGTCTGCCTGCAATACTAACATTTATTTGTTGACCGGAGGAGTATTTTCTCGTTCTCTCTTGGTAATTAAAGAATTATACTAATGGTTATAGAGAATTGGATGCTATAAGCCTCCTTGACCTGATAAGGTATATGCAATTATGATAATAAATGCATGAATTTTATTAACATCAAGAATGTTGATGTTAATAGAATTCATTTTTATTACAATCATAATAAAAACGTTACAAGTAAGTGCATGATTTGGAATTTCCTGGAACACAGCTACGGGACAACGTCTGAAATAAAGAACAATGGGGGAGGGGGTCTCGAGGACTAAGAATTAAAGGAATGTCATGATAACTATATATTACCATTATTATCATCGTCTTCCTTATGTGTACTTTCTGGGACAGGCGAAGTAGGTAAAGACGCGGAATTTTCTTCGCTGACCTTTTCGTCATCAGACGTAAGAGGGCTTCTGTCGAACAAAAGAGGTAGAGTTTCCTTTTGCATTTTCGCAAATTCCGACATGAATTGCTTCCAACGTTCATAGTCGCCTGGACCGGCCTGCCTCTTAGTCATTTCAACCGAAAACAAAAACGATTTCACCAGCACTCGCGATATCAGCAAGACAACGATCGAGAAGATGTAACTCGTACGCGCACACGAAAAGATATGAGGTACGGTACGAAGAGCGAACGGCGCCGGCACAAACCGCGCCAATGCCGCTCTTTTTTCTCGGTCGATAAAGGTGTGACATCTCGCAGGGCGAAGGGGAACTACATTGTAATATTGAGAACTAGATGGAATATAATTGATAGACTTTCAACTACAATTAGTGGAATTAGGCCTTAATTTTATGGAAGTACTTGAATATATGAGAAGAAGAAAATATATATAAATGATATGTATTAATCATCCCAAAAGCTTTTTTTACATTAGCATACTCATCAATAAGCAATATTCATGAGAATTTGAAAAATAAATTGTAGACCTGACATTTAAATGTGGTACGTTCGGCCCTACAGTTTTAAACAACAATTACTTTTGCTCACTACCGGTAGTGTTGGTACTAAATAATCGAACTAGATATTTTTAGTGATGTTACTAGAGTTGCGATTCGCGTCCGTATCCGTCCGCATTCATATGTTACATTCATACATAGCTATGGGACCGGGGTCTTAGAGACGTCATTTTTCAAGAGGAATTGTAAATTCGCTAGAATTTGTAATTTTACTAGTATGAGATAAGGTGAGACTAGCAAAAGTACTACACTCGGAGTAATTTTACTATTGGATAGTTATTATACAAAAGTGTTTTTTATAGTGTGTGTGTGTGTGTGTATGTATATATATACATGACATTTGACATTCTATTTTTTCAAATTATCCCGCATAATACCGGAAGTTTTATTTCCCGCGCGAAACTCATCTGTAACGCCATCGTAGTTATATACCTGTAGAGTGTAGAATAAATAAGGTTAGAAAATTGAAATTTTGTAAAAAGCCGGTGTAGAGCTGATATTCGACCAATGTTATATCAACAATTTATAGAATTGGAATAATCTTAATTGAAGCAACGCAAAAATGGAGCTCACTGACGATAATCTACTTACTTTAAGTGAATATCTGAAGCACACATTGAATCCTGATGTCAATGTTCGTCGTCCTGGTATGTCGCTATAAATAAACTTTTTACTTGAAAATATTAGTAAAAAACTGGTACATAATTTTCTGTTATTACTGTTATAAATTATTTATTATTATGGTTCAAAACTTTATATTTATCAAAATGATTTTTTCATATGTTCCTTTACTAAGGTTATTATCTTATGCCACACATGTTAAAGAATCAACTATACAAAATATTATATATTTATGTATGTTATTAGCTGAAAAATCTTTGGAAGCAGTTGAGCTGAACAAAAACTATCCATTACTTTTATTACATTTAGTTGATAAACCTGAAGTTGATATAACTATAAGGATTGCTGGAGCAATCGCATTTAAAAATTATGTCAAAAGAAATTGGAAAATTGTAAGTTTGATTAGTATTGATATTTATTATAATAATTTATTTATTTTTGTATTTTTATTTCATACTTCAATCACATCATTCAGTATAAAAGTTTTGTTCAATTATCTAATTGATTTATTAATAAATACATACTGTACTTTTAGGATGATGACACTGTAGTTAGAACAGACAAAATCCACAAAGAAGATAGAGAGTCTATAAAAAAACTTATTATAAATTTAATGCTTCATTCTCCTGACTCAATACAAAAGCAGTTATCTGATGCTGTGTCAGTTATTGGTAGATATGATTTTCCTGATCAATGGCCTGAACTTATAGATCAAATGGTGGAAAAATTTAACACGGGAGATTTTCATATAATTAATGGAGTATTACACACAGCACATTCTTTGTTTAAGAGATATAGATATGAATTTAAAAGTCAAGATTTATGGACAGAAATAAAATATGTACTGGATAAGTTTGCCAAACCACTTACTGATCTTTTTTTGGTATACAATTATTTTTTAACTTTTGTTACCTAGTCTTTATATATAATGCTATAAAGGAATATTTGTTTAGGCTACAATGAATTTGACTCAAGTACATGCTAGTAATATAGAAGCATTAAAAGTTATTTATAATTCTTTGACAATTTTGTGTAAAGTATTTTATTCTCTGAACTACCAGGTAATTATAAAATATTAATTAAACTTTTAATGTATTTTTAATATATTCTTCATATATTTTTATTTTTAGGATTTACCAGAATTTTTTGAAGATAATATGGAAGTATGGATGAGCAATTTTCACAACCTTCTTATCGTAAATGTACCATCATTACAAACAGAGGTTCAATATCTATCATCTGTTAACAATATATTTCAATGCTTGTATATTTTAGCAAATCATCAAATCAATTCAAATTCTGTTTTATTCAGGATGATGAAGAAGCTGGTGTTATAGAGCAATTAAAATCACAAGTTTGTGATAATGTTTGTTTGTATGCACAGAAATATGATGAAGAGTTCCAACAATATTTGCCACAATTTGTTACAGCAATTTGGAATTTACTGACTTCTACTGGTCAACAGCCAAAATATGATTCGGTAGTTTACTACAGGGCTTCATACATATCTATAACTAATTCAAATAATAATTAAATTTTTATCTGGTATAAGTAGTTTATTTAGGTAGAAAAACGGTGATACTTATAAGAAGTACTTAATATATATAAATATTAATAACAATGTTTGAATCATTTTAAATATTTCAATTTAAAGAAAATAATAAGAGAAAAGTGGTAAAAATATCAATAAAGCATGAAAGCACGATATTTAACTAACGTTTTTTTCTAAAAATACTATGTTACAAATTTGATTACGAAATCTAATATTTTATTATCAATTTGATATTTGATTAGAAATAAAAATATTTAATTTTTTCTTCTTAGTTGGTGTCAAATGCTTTACAATTTTTGGCAACTGTAGCTGATCGTAATCAATATAGACATCTTTTTGAAGATCCAGCTACTCTCAGCAGTATCTGTGAAAAAGTAATTATTCCAAACATGGAATTTAGAGGTAAGGAAATTTCAAAAAATCACTTGCATAATCTTTCAGCGTTGTCGCGTTGTTATTAGAAAAATAATATTTTTATTTAACACATTCACAGAATCTGACAATGAACTATTTGAGGATAATCCAGAAGAATATATACGTCGAGATATTGAAGGTAGCGACGTTGATACAAGAAGAAGAGCTGCTTGTGATTTAGTAAAAGTGCTCTCAAAATACTTTGAAGTAAAAATAATGGAAATATTTGGTGCATATATTCAGGTTGATAAAATTTAAATATTTATTTTGTTATACATTATTATAAATTATTCAATTTTTATAAATATCGTTAATTTAAAGGCTATGCTGCAAAATTATGCTGCCAAGCCAACTGAGAATTGGCGCAGCAAAGATGCAGCAATTTATCTTATTACAAGCAGCGCCAGTAAAGGTCAAACTCAAAAACATGGTGTAACCATAACTAGTGATCTTGTACCCCTTCCTCAATTTGCTGCTAACCACATAGAACCAGAACTTGCTAAGCCCAATGGTTAGTATATTAATTTAAGTTTTCTTGTATTATACACAAAAATGTTGAAGATTTTTAATATTTTCTTGTAAAAATAGTTATCATTAATAAGAAAATCTTCTTTGATTTTAGTAAACGAATTACCTGTTTTAAAAGCAGATGCCATCAAGTTCATAATGATTTTTAGAAATATCCTGCCTCCAGAACAAGTGATTGGCAGTTTACCTCAAATGATTAGACATTTATCAGCAACAAGTCCAGTAGTGCATAGTTATGCTGCTTGTGCGATTGACAAAATTTTAGCTTTAAGAGATAAAAATAATGTTACTCTGTTAGTGTAACTTTTATATAGTTTAGATAAGCTTATTTGCAGCAAAATTGTTAATAAACATTTCTATTACAGAGTTAAAGCAGAAAGTATTGCACCCCTGGCTGCTGATTTACTCAACTGTTTATTTAGAGTTCTTGATTTACCAGGAGCAGAGGAAAATGAGTACATCATGAGAGCCATAATGAATTGTTTTGTCGTATTGAGAGGAGCTATAGTGCCCTTCTTAGCAGAATTACTTCCAAAATTAACACAAAAAATTGCCGTTGTCGCTAGAAATCCAAGTCGTCCTAATTTTAATCATTATCTTTTTGAAACATTAAGTATTTCCATCAAGTTAGTCCAATTTGTAGCGCGTGTTCTAATGTTTTTAATTGAGTTGTACAAATATGCTATATATGATATTTGTATTTCAGAATTGTATGTAAATCAAATCCAGCAGCTATTGCATCATTTGAACAAGCTCTTTTTCCTACTTTTCAAGGAATATTGGTTCAAGATATTCAAGGTTTGTACAAATTCTAATTTAATCAAATTACAAGTTTATTAAATACTTTATAATATTTTTTAGAATTTGTTCCATACGTGTTCCAAATTTTGGCCTTATTACTGGAGCTACAAACTGGCTCAAATGTACCCGAAACTTATATGGAATTATTTCCTTGTTTATTAAGTCCCGTTTTATTTGAAAGGCAAGGCAACATACATCCGTTAAATAGACTTTTACAAGCCTTTGTAACCCATGGATCGCATCAAATTATCGCACAAGATAAAGTTAGTGGTTTGCTTGGAGTTTTTCAAAAATTGATGGCTTCTAAGGCAAACGATCATGAAGGTTTCTTACTGATACGGGCTGTTGTTGAACATTTTCCGCCGTAAGTTTTACTACTGAAATTTCATTTTTATTTTCATTGATTGCAGAAAATTTATTGAATATTTGTTTTTTTTCTTTAGAAACATATTGGAACCTTACATGAAACACGTTTTTGTCATACTTTTTCAAAGATTATCAAGCAGCAAAACAACAAAGTTTGTCCGGGGTCTCATTGTCTTTTTCTCGTTTTATGCCATCCGATATGGAGCAAGTAATTTAGTTACTATTGTGGATTCTATTCAATCTCAGTAAGTTAATATGTATTATTTTCAATGGAGCTATCGCTTATGTTCAATATTGTTTTCTAAACTTTTTAAAATCAAAAGTAATGCATAACGTCTTCAAACCTATTAAATCATTTTTTGTTTAGAATGTTTGGCATGGTGATTGAAAGAGTAATAATTGCTGATTTACAAAAGGTGTCTGATGAAATTGAAAGGAAGATTGCAGCCATTGGAATTTCCAACATATTAATTGATTGTGCAGCTATGCTAGAAAGTCCCTACAATGTATACTATCCTCGTCTTTTGGCTTGCTTGATTGAATTCTTTGAATTGCCTCATGATGAAACCCAGTTGCCAGAAGATGAGCAAGTTTTAGATGTAGATGATTCATCTGGCTATCAAGCTGCCTACAGTCAACTGATTTTCGCAAAAAATCAGAAGAGGGATCCTTTAGCTTGTAAGTTGTTGATCAAAATTATAATTTGTTAAATGGTTCATCAAATGAAAAATTAACATTTTATTTATTTAGCAATTGCAGATGTTCGCTTACATCTGGCACGAGGATTAGGTAGAATGAAACCTGGACAACTACCTCAGCTATTAGGACAAATACCTGAACCAAATGCAAATCATCTGAGAACTTATTTGCAAACGGCTGGGATTACTGTTACATAATATGAACTTCAAGTTCGGGGCAGGCTAAAAATACACTTAATGTCCCGTAAATTTAATAGAATTCAATTAAACAAAATGTGATTAAACATAGATTGGAAAAACTGAAGTTTTTAAAGAACAAATATACTTTTAAATTCATTTTAAATAGTTGAATACATAAGAAAGGCAGATTTAAACTTCAATATTTGTCAGATATTTTTGATCAAAAGAATTCAGTTCGTACTTTTTTGAAGTTGGAATTTTCGATTGTAATTAGCTGATAATTTTATTTTTTGATTGTATTTATTTTTTGTGCGTCAAATGAATATGGCAAGACTTAATTTAAAAAATTATTTCGCTTATGGCCAATTTCTTTACAAGCTAAGATATGAATGTATTCCCAAATATTATATTGTTCAACAGAATAATAGAATTTTGTACATGTATTTTTTAAATAATCGAATAATACAATGTGTAAAAACATTATTTTATTGTACAGTCATAACTATTTAAAACTAACGTATTTCGTACTCAATATAAAAAAAAACATAGTGTTAACATGTTACGGAAACAAATAATGTCAATTTATGGCAATTGGTTGAATAAAATATTGATTTTGAATATTGCATAACGCAAAAGTGTGTGCGTGCGTATGCGTGCACGCGTACGCATGTATGTATGTTTCAGTATCTAAAATGACGATAAAAATAAAATCGTTTTACTTTAAGCTTAAACGATTCGGTCAATAAATTATAAATTTTAAACGAATCTCCTTGCAGTGGGATTCAGAAAATTAAATGACTATTAGATATATGAATAGACTACACAAATAACATAGATAAGTTGATGACATAAATGAAGATATGGCAATTATAGATTCCTGTCTGAAAGAACTCTAAAAAAAACTCAATAAAAAGGTAAAATTTTTTATTTCTGCTGAGAAGTGGTCTGCAGAACTCAATTTAAGTTAATTTAGATGATATTTTCAAAACCTTTCGAATGATTTTTATAAAATAGATACCCTCCTATAACATTTCTTTAGAGTTTATTAGAGAAACATAAGTAATATTTTATTTACTGCCAAAATCTTTTAATCCTGACAAAATATTGTATATTTTATCAGGAATATTTGTCATTATAATTTTGAAGGACAAAATGAATATACTAAGAATTTAATGTTCAAAGGATCGCGTTGAGAAAGCATAGCTTGTCGATGTATTAGGAAGTAATTGCCCGAGTAAGAATAAACGGGAATGCATTGCATGCTGAAAAATATACTTGGCAATTGCTTTACTGCATTTCCTTGAAAAATTTTAATTTGATTCAAGAATAATATAAAAAATTGAGGGTTTCAAACGAATTTAATATAAAATATTCGTAATAAATTCACCTCGTGTTGTGATGGCGGAAGCTTCGAGTTTAGAGTTTCAAAATAGTCCGTTTAGCTTTTGTTACTCGCCAGATCGCAATTCATAATATAAGCTAAAATTTTATATTTCAGTAATTATCTGATTTTTATCTATAAAAATATTGTAATGAATAAAAAAACTACTAACTTTGAAATCGTCACTTGAAGGCTTACGTTGACAACGTTTTTGCAAGCTCGAGTTTAACATGCATAATTATGTGTTCTATGCCATAATTTATTTTTTATGATTCTTATAGATATACAATGTTATTGCTGTAATAACTGTCGACAATATAATAACTTTAATAAAAATTAATGATAAGAATATAATGAAATTTTAAAAATATTTTACATCAATTCTTTAAAACATCCGTTTTGCGTATAAGTAAATGTTTCAACATAGTACTAATAGACATCTAAGATATTAACATTCGCCCAAAAACTCTTAATCAATAGCGTAGCTCATTGGTCACGTATATGATACATTTCTCACGTACATGACTAACTTGTTAACAATTACCTTGTAAATTTTACTCGTAAACAAGTCAATAGTTCAAAACAGCAATTGTTCGTGAAACTCTCAATATAATTACTTTCAAGCAATGTTTTATATCAAATTTCAAGTAACATGACAATTACAATGAAAATTTGGAAATAGTAGCACACAAATTTTGTTCGATGTTACAACAAATTGGTTTTCGTTTAATATACAAAATTTTTCTCTTCATTCAAAATTTCTACATGAATGGTATATTATAATCTCTTGATTCGTGATGCAGCGGTTTCTCGACAGTTTATTCAACTGTTGATTCATACAACTTACATACTTTATAGAAATGACAATTAGTTCATAACAATTAGGTCGAATCAGTTTGTTGGTAAGTTTATTGGAATAAACAGGTATAGTTTTCGCCTATACCTGTCTAACCTTATCTAGATAAAATCAAACAATAATGGTTTCAGTCATTTGAGTAATTATATCAATGAAAAGAAGTATATATATGGACAATATCATTAAATTGACAATGCATTTTGTGACAAGTAGCCGAAAAACATTATTCTGTGCGCAGGATGCACACACTCCAACGGACAGACACTGAGTTCCGTTATTTATATCGTGAAATGTCTGCGTTGAATACATTATTTATGCTATAACGATCCAATTGCTGTGAATTTCTGACGGTAGACCTGAATAACACCAAAACGTTTTAAAAATGTTTCAAAAACATTTCACTGAGAACCTAAAAACGTTTAGCAATTTTGGTTTTAAAAACGTTTCGAAAACTTTAAATATGACCACCCTATATGTGGCGGTCTCATGATTCGACCATCCACATCTAAACGGTATCGGACAGCCATGAGCGGCAAGAAATACGCTCACTAAATATATAAGTCCGCATAACGATTCGAGCATAATCTTTACATTTTCCTGAATTTTATATAGAAAATCGACAAAAGGAAAATTGTTTCGTAATCCGGGAATAAGGAGCTATCATCCACTATCGATATTATTTCTTTTTAAACAGGAGAAAAATGTTTAATGTATATTGCGCGTTGTCCGAACGCCCGATTTTTTTTCGCAATTTTCTTAAAAACGGAAAATCCGGAAATAAAATTTTAAATGGAGACTTAATACGGAAAAAAGGAGAAAACGTTTTAGCTCACGAAAACTAAAAAATATGTTTAAAAAAATTTTTTGGGCGTCAGCTTCACAAGTCTGATGTTAGTAGTGTGCAAATGTATGTTACGCCAGATTGATATTTCTCTTTAAAAAGCGTGTTAAACAAAACTTCTAAAGGCTTTTAGGTTTCAAAGAGAATAAACTAAATGCCTGATCTATATATATGTATATATATACATACATACATACATACATACATACATACATACATATATGTATGTATGTATTACACGAAAATATAAGGCAGGGAAAAATATAAGTGTTAAGGCAAGCTAACGGATCGGTGGTCGGATCGATATCATTGGTATTGCGATACAGCGTCGAAGCTCCGCTCAATGCTGCTCGCTGCAATCGCGCGTGCATAGGAGGCAAAAGAGCGTCTCCTTTCTGAGTGCTGACGAATTTGAAGACTGATTTCCACTTTCCTTTTCTCTTAACCTCGGTCTCTTTTCTTTTCTCGCAGATGGCCCACACGTGCAACGTTGCTGTTAACAAGACAACACTTGAGCTTTTTAGTAGCAACCTATTAAATTTCGATGAGTTGAGATTCGTCGAGAAGTGTTGTTTTTCTTTTCAAATCATTATTTGACCTGCCGCGTCTTAGCACTCAAGTGATCATTTTATGAGTGTTCGAATTTCGATGTTTTAAGTATTGAAAAGAAAACGAAAACATATTTAACGAGCGTGAGAACTAAAAAACTACGCAGCTAAGAATAATACGTTAAAATACCAAGCAAAGGAGTTTTAAATATTCGCGCGGCTATCTTTCTCTCTCTCTCTCTTATACTACAATTGTGCAAAAACCACGTGACAGGCAGTATGTCACATAACCACTAAAATACAAATCTAATAGAAAATAGACACTAGTGGTCTGCCATATTGGATCTGTTATTTTGAATTTTCAGATTTTTCAAGATGTGATTTTAGATTCGTAATCAATAACCCTGAAAATCCATATTTATTTATTATAAAACGAACTTTATTAAAATATGAAAAAAAATCCGCTATATTGGATCCGCCATTGTAAATTTCAGAATTTACAAATTTCGACTTCAGATTCGTAATCAGTGACCGCAAAAACCTTCGAGTAAGAAAATTCAGACAAAAATATTCAATAGAAAAATGTTTAACTCAAAGGTTAAAATAAAATATTAAAAGCTTGAATATAAAATCACTTTATTGCAAACTATAATTTTATAAACGATTTTATACAAACATGCATACAATAAAGTTGATAAGAATAATTATTAAACTTAATGTTTTGATTAAATAAAATTTTATTACATCATAGCAAATTTTGTCTTACGTTGGCATTATGCAAATAGGGCATATATGAGTTATTAATGAAAAGTAAAAAACTAATTATGTGGTAATAAATCTTAATATAGTAAACTGCAATATTTTAATCAATGAGATTATGAGTATGTCTTCAAAATACTGCCTGTTACTGCTATGTAATTATTTTTCCACGATTTATGTACATTATTTTTCTAGTAGAACAGTTTTCCAATAACTGTTTTAAAACAATTTCTATTTTATATACATGTATATATGATATAAAATCAAAAGTCATAGCAGACACATTAGTTACAAATAAGAGAACATATTGTGTACAATTTTTTCGAAAATTCTTATGATTTGTGCAAAAATGTATTCGTTAACAAGAAAAACTTCAGTCTATTGTTATTCACACAATTAAATTCAAACAATCAATTAATAAAATGACATTTACTTCGACTAACAATTCTCAAACTGCAAAATTTACCTAGGGCTGCTCTTCTTCACTTCACTTTTTACAAGAATTTTCGAAAAGATCTAATTTAAAAATTTCTATTCGCAGCTATTTTTATCAGCATGAAATTCTCATGGTTAGCCTTTTGTACAGAGAAGACGCAATTTAACTATTATCACAGATTAACACAGACAGCTTCTGTCATGGTTGGACACCGTATACGTTCCTACGACCTTGTCTGCCTGCCTCCTGTCATTTTCAAGGACTGAGACACAATTATTACAGTTCAGTTATCAAACACTACACGTGTATGTGAATAATGTTTACAAATTTCAAATTTTTTTAATGAAATGTAATTCCCTGCTTTTTTCACTTCTGGACAATGTAAATTTTTCAGAGAATTGTTGAAACATCTTAGTTTTTAGTATAAGTCGCGACAAAAGTTGATAATTTTTCAGAAATCTAATAAAAAGTATTTTCAATATCTATAGTGATATAAATAGGGCACTATTATATCACTATACTCTAAGGGAATATCTTAGAAATGCAAATAGCACCCTATTTGAAAATATTGAAGTCCTTATATTTACACAATAATCTAACTAACAAACATTGCATTATTATTTGGTTTAGTGATAAAGAGAACATAAAACATTAAATATAGTTTGTGCGACTTTTACTACCAGTAATTAATCGTTGTATTCAAAGTCTTCATACAATACATTTGTAATAATTCTTGTCTTTTACTCTTTTATTTTTAAAAATCATCGACAATTTATAAATAGCACACATAAATCTAAATTATATCTAACGCCTTGTTAGATTATAAAATATGAAACAAAATTGAATTTAGTAAAGATCCCAATATGTTTAGGCGAATATTTGCTTACTATTTTGCCTTTGTGGAAGCTTCAAAAAATTTATAAATAATTTATGCACATTTATAAAATAAATAATATAATTTGCGAAATTGTAATTTTATGAATGGAGTTTAGAACAATGATATATCTATTCCAAAACTTGATTACCATGGTGGGATATTAAACATTTTACCTTTAAATATAATAAGAAATGCATTATTGTTGATTCATGTCGTTTTGGTAACGTTGAAAAGTTTATGGCATTTCATGTCCATTCCCTAAATAACACATGCTCTCTGTCTTACTCTGCTTGACTGTTGTATAAAAACCATATCAGTTTCAGAATTTATCTAACATGCGACAATGTTGCTAACAGCATTTTTTTCTACTTTGTTTAGTACTTTTCCTAAGATTTACAATATCATTTGTTTTTGTAGCCTGTCGTTCTTTGCTTTCTTTTTTAGTGCGAAGAACTTCTCGTGTTATTGCCATAAACATCTGTAAGTTTGAATGAAAATGAATGGTTTTGCCATTGAATTAATTCAATTAAATTTTAGAAATTTGTACATACTTCCTCAACATTAGTATTATCCTTGGCAGAAGTTTCAAATAATTTAATTCCCATTTGATTTGCAAACCGTTGTGCATCTTCTGTTAAAACAACTTTCTGATTGGGTGCATCATTTTTATTACCCACTAAAATCCTATTGACTACAACATCACAATTATGTTCAATTTCATGTAGCCATCTTTTAACATTTGCAAAGGAATCGCCACTAGTCACATCATATACAACTATAACACCATGCGTTCCTCTATAGTATGTGGAAGTTATTGTTCTAAATCTTTCTTGTCCAGCTGTGTCCCAAATTTGTAATTTTACTCTCTCCCCATCTACATCGACAGTACGGATTTTAAAATCCACTCCTATTGTTGTTATATAATTTCCATTGAACGTATTGTCAGCAAACCGCAGCAGCAGAGAACTTTTTCCAACACCTTAAATATTAAACAAACATTAATACACAGTATGAAATTAATTAACTATGTTTAAAAAAATTTATTTAAAATATTTAAGTTTAAAGAAATTAATAGCGTTTATTTATTATAAATATTATTATTGAAGAATAAAACAATTGAGCTGATAGCATACAACTAAAAGTGATTTATAATTCGTTTTAAACTTGATTTATTTATTAATAATTCATTCTTGTTATTTAAAAAAATTATAACATTTTTCAATTAGAAATAGGTCCAAGTGAATTGGTGTATTGTTAAATAGTAGAGAAATGTATATATTTAGTATTTACCACTATCGCCTATGATGAGCAATTTGAACAAATGATCGTAGTCTCGAGCCATTTCTGACGTGTGCGTTTATCTTTTCCTTCGTCAGTATGATACGTATGTTGAGTGTTTTACAAAAAGTGCACCTTTGTTGATGCTTTGTTAAACCAGTACCTTTTCTGCGAGTCAATTTTCACCGTGCTTCAGTGATTTATGAATCACGATGAGAAGAAAGAACGAGAGAAAGGGAAAGAAGCACGTAGCGAAGAAAACACAAGGTAAGGCGAGGCGAGGCAAGGTAGCTACTGGACAGCACACCACATATGCGCCTGCAGACGCACACCCATACACACTCGCACAGAGCCTCCGTCAGATTGTGCGTCAACCGTCAACCATCGATGACGTATGCAGGGAAGATAGACAAAGCAATTACAAATGGCTTTGCGAAAAAGGAGAGAAAAGTTCCACAAGCTTGATATATCGGACAGGATTTATAAGATTTAGTTTTTTCGTCAATCAGTGTTTGAGAATTGATGCCAATGAAGGATATCTTTCAAGCCTCTATTCTAAATGTAACAAAGCGCGCGCATACAGTCACAAATGTCCGCAAAACAATGCTTTCACTTTCAATAAATTATCTGAGAAACAGAGAAATCTCAGCTGCTTCGCTACTACAGCCAGAAACAAGATCTGTATTCCTTAGCAGCCAATCAAGTACATTAGGCAGTTGTAAAATGGAGTTGAGCATATATGTGTACATAAGTACACGTGAATTTGCGAACGGATGATAACGCGGCCTGTTATACGCCCACCGAGAAAAAACTGCACTTCTTTGAAAGGAAAGAACAGGGCCTTTTTTTTATTAAAACACTAATGGCAATTCGCTCTTTACTCAGTCTCCACTTTGACTCTTATGTGCCATAGGGCTAACACGCCTACGATCAGCCTTGACTTTCAGCTTTTTATGACGCCCATAGCATCTGCTATTCTCTTCACCTGCTGCAACTTTCCGATTCTCTTGTCACTATATCCTACCTATCGTACCGCTATAGATATCTCTTTTTGTACCCCTTCTCTCACCATTGCTACAGACTGAAATAAGAGACTAGAAACTTGTAGTAGAAGAAGAATGGTGATTTTATTGGATTATATGAAATATACATTGCCATGTTACATGAAGGTAAGCCTTAAAGAAGGCGCGAAGTTCAACTTATACTATATTGTACAAAGGATATATTTTAACTTATCTTATATTTTACATTTAATACTAACAATGAATTGCGCAATACATTGAATTAAATCAAGATTTTTTTCTGATAATAAAGATATTATGGAGAAGGGCCCGTATTTGTGTATACGTCTAATCTCTTTAAGAAGAACAGTTCTTTGTTTGTTATTTAAGGCACATTCCCAAAAAATGTGTTCAATGGAATCATTAGACTGACCACATTGACACAAGCTACTTAATACAATGTTCTTTCTAAATAGACTCAAGTTTAGAGAGGTGTGGTTAGATCTAATCCTGTTAACGGAAACTATTGCTTTGTGTGGCAGACCTAGATCAAAGAACCAAGGTTTACTGTCAGCTGTATAAAAGTTTTCAAAGAAAATAGAACCTTTTGAGGAATTTAGGCTCATTATTATATTTTCATTCTCTTCTTAGCATATATTTTTAGAAATGTTTAGAAAATCAGACATTGGAACCGGTTCATTGATTAGGTGGCCATTTTTTGGCTGCAGCTTTAGCTTCAAGATCAACAACTTCATTGCCATGGATACCCACGTGAGCAGGAACCCATGCCAATTTTATTAGAATGTTTTTATCGCGCGCTTATGCTAATTTACATCTAAGATTAATGATTAATACTGAATTACATGAATACGACATTAAAGCTCTAAGAACACTTTCTGAGTCTGAAAAAATGATATAGTTGCCGGAGCCTTTATCAATAATTTTTTCTACAATCAATAAAAGAGCTGTACATTTAGTTGTAAAAATTGATGCTGAATCCAAAATTCCATATTCAAAGCATCGATCTTGACATTTGCTCCAAGCAGCAAAGCCGATGTCTTACTGTTTTCTGTAATTTTGGATCCGTCAGTAAACACAAATGTACGATCAGAGTTTTCAGGAAATAAAGTGTTAAACTGATCATTAGGAGATTTATAGCTATTAATTTTCTTACCCTCATCTAACAGAATTGAAGGCATGTACAGGAGATAGTTAAAATCTTTGAGATATTTGATATGCTTATTTGAACTGATCAAAGAATCTTTGAGAAACCAAACTCTTTAATAACATTCAGTTATAAGGGAGCTAGAAAAATTATTCGCAGAAATAAAATAATCATTTAATTGAATAATCTCCTCTAGATTATTTGTAATTTGATACTGATTATAGGCCATACATTTAAGAATATATTTAAAACAGTTCAGCTTAAATCTGCATTGTAAATACGGAATTCTGGATTCAGCAACCAAAACATTGATTGGAGTACTGGTTCTGTAGTCCATCGCAATTCTTATGGCCGAATTCTGGATTTTTTGCAATCTTAAAATATATTTGTCATTGCATGGTAATATAATAAAACCTCCATATTCAATCTTAGATCTAATTAACGCTATGTACAACAAAAAAGACCTCGGGTCAGCGCCCCACCAGGTAGATCGTAAAAAGCTGAGAACTTTCAATTTGAATAAACAGCTATTAGCTAATTTCTTGGTGTGTGAATTCCAATTAAGGCGACGATCTAACGTTAATCCTAAGAACTTAACTTCTTCAGAGAGAGAGTAATTCTGTGATTATCTATAATGATAAAGGCAGATTTATCAATACGCTTCATTGAGTTGTCAAAAGTCATAAGTACACATTTTTCCGGCGCAAATTCTAATCCTCTGGATTTTAGCAAAGTTGAAATTTTGTTATACCCAACTTCTAGTGTAGCTAATTTTGTTATTATTATAAATAACTATATCGTCCGCAAATTCTATAGAATAGACAAAATGTCACATACAATTCGGTAAATCATTCTCGTATAAATCGCATACAGAAGTGGGCTAAGCAAACTACTTTGTGGAAGACCCTTATTGACAATTTTTTCAATAATTTTTGTGAATGTACAAAACGTGACTTTGCGTTCAAAAATAACATTTTTAATAAAGCTAATCATTTTTTTAGGTAACTTCAATTCAATAAGATCGTTAATCAAAATGTCAGGAATAACATCATTGTAAGCACCTTTGATCTTTAAGAAAAGGGCAGAAACTGAATTTTTGGTGAAAAAATTACTTTGAATATCGCTCGTTAGAATGCTTAAATTATCAATGCATGATTTGTTCTTCCTAAAACCAAATTAAAACGGGGACAAAATATCAAATTTTTCTGTCCACCATTGGAGTCTTTCTTTAACAAGTTTTTCCATAATTTTCAAAATATTCGAGGTCAACGATATAGGTTTAACTTTGCAAGAGTTTCCTTTAGGAATAAAAATAACTAAATAGTCACTCTAGTCTTGTGGAAAATTTTTACATTCATAAATATCATTATATATTATAACGGGGTTTTAGCTCGAGCTCTTTTCGGGCTAAATCAGTTATATAACAAATAATTCTCGCGGATTAATATTTTAATAAAGCGAAGTGCGCTATCCAAGGCGACCCTGTGCGCCAGCGCGAACAGTGCCTGGGTCCAGCTGCATCAGCTTGCCTCCTTCCTTACGTAGAAATTCGGCCCACGGAGAGTGTTGTGAGCTACAGGTTACTTGGCGAGGGACAACCTAAAGAGTCTCGCTGCGAAATGGTTATGCGATAAGGCAGGTGTATCGGAATAAGACACTGCGGATTTTAGTAGAAATGAATCGTATATTTAAGCACCCACGAATACATGCAAGCGCGCGTGTCGACGAAATGTGAGCGGCAGCGAACAAGGCGACAACAAAACGCAACGCGCCGATCTTGTCAGTGACCGAGCAAGATCGGACAACGGATTCGCTTAAAGCGGCTCGAGGCAAGACGCAATGCCGAGCAAAATGACAGGGTGCGTAGGTCGGGCGAAAGGCTAGAGCAACGAATGCGGTTAGCAAGCAATAGGAGAGAGAGAGCTAAAGAGAGAGAGAAGAATCGAGTAGGTACTTACAGTAGTTGTCGCCGTAGAATTGGTCTTCTGCGTATAAGACACTCCAGTTGTCTTATTTAACTTGGGTTGAGTATTACTTTTCCAATTGGGAAATGATTCAATAGTATTGAACGGTGCTTGACCTGAACCAAATACTAACTAATGTTTTGCTTCAAAATATAATAAATTTTCGAATGCTATTTTTTCGTTGACTATAGTATTCATTTTGTAAATTCTACAACTTTTGTCAATGGATTTATACGACTCTTCACAATTACAGCATCTTGGAGTGAGGCCTATGCAGGGAGAACCAATGTGCTGAAATTCACCACAATAGAGCATTTAGTTTTACCACGGCAGTTTTTAGCCATATGGCCAAACTTGAAACAATTTAGGCACTGTAGAGTTTTCCTAACATATGGAAATACTTTGGCAATGACATGAAATATCACTATTTCTTTGGGCAATACATCACTTTCAAAATCAATCAAGATAGACGTAGTAGGAACCCACGTTGTATCGCTTTCTGATGTTAACTTCATTCTTCTATTCAACCTTGTGATCTTACTGGTGATAACATTGCTTTGAATGCCTACTTTTAAGTCATCTAAATCAATATCTACAGGAATGCTTTTGATCACGCCTTTGCGCGTTTTCTTGAATTCCGGAATGAAGGTAGTTAGACCTTTATCTACAAAACATTTGTCAGATAGAGCATGATTAGCCTCATCCCTGTCTTTGAAGATAATAATACCTTTCGATCTACCGTCTCTTTTAACTTGAACGATCGAATTAAAATGACCGTGAATAGCCATTCCAATTTTAAAAATACTGAAAGGTTTGGCATCACTACAATTTTCCTGTTTTACCCATACGTAGAATGGACCTTTATGAATACTACTATATCCTACGGGTTTGGAAGTAGAGTTACCGTCTGTCGGTAAATTAGGGTTCACATTGATCAATGTATTGCGAACATCAACTACGTTCGACCTCTTAGCCGACTTTCTTTTAATAATATCATTAATGTCATCTACTTCCGATGATTCGGAATCATTCAATTCACGGCTTCTCTTTAACTTAAGAGTCTGATTTTCATCATTCTCCTCCATGTGAACAACTGATTCGTATGGTGTATACAAGCTGACACCCTCGGCCATCTTGAATGTAAAAGTGCCTATCCGGCAAGCCGGTGGCTGAGAAAAACATGAATATTGCAATCAATAGGTCGTGGATTTACAATCAACCTTGTAACTAAAACTCCCTCGAAGGAAGGAAAACCAGGTTAACCACCAAGCGATTAAACCACCCTCAACGATACTCACACAAAGCGACAATTACTCAAGCAAGTAGGAGGCACGACCTCAGCTCCTTCCGAACTCTCAACCAAACTTGTAGTAAAAAAGTTTTGTTTTACAGCAGCATCTAGGAATTTTTCAACAGATTATGTTACCAACATCATAAACTCAGGAATTAATTTTAAATTATTTAGCTTATTTATTCTGTCCACGATATAAAATCAATGATTTGGTAAGAATAAGTAATGCAGACTCATTCAATTAACATTTTTCTATATCTATGCGTTCCTAAATATAACCAATATACATCTTAAAATATTTAAGAATATCTATACGTACTCCATCTCACAGCAAATCACTTATTCAATGATCAATCAGTCATTCATTATCAAGAAGTTTCAATTAAAATATAGTATAATCAAACAAACTTACCGTGAAGTTCGATTTAGATTATATATCATCTAGTTCGAAGATATTACAATGTAGTTCCCCTTCGCCCTGCGAGATGTCACACCTTTATCGACCGAAAAAAAAGAGCGGCATTGGTGCGGTTTGAGCCGGCACCTTTCGCTCTTCGTACTGTACCTCATATGCTTTAGAGACTGAAGTAAGATTAATAAGAAAAAGAGCGCTGGGATAGCATAAGGGACGAGGGCT